GGGTGAAGCTAAATTTCAGGGCTTTTAATTTTCACCCTGCGAATTCAGGCACGGAAATCACCTTAGGCTTAATCTGATTTATTTAAGGTGGTAAAACTCTGGAACTGCACGTTTCATTGTCAGATGCCGCCATGTGACAAGGAATTGAACTTAACCTTCCCATGCAGTCTCACGCCCACACCACCGGAGTTATCTGGCAACGCTCCCTGTTCCCCTTCACCAGCCCCCACTCCCATCCAAATTACTCCGTGACTGGCTGGTTACCTGGCGACTGAATCACCGTTCTCCCGGCTGTAATGTGATCATGCAAAATAACTGCAATGTTTGTTGTAACAGATAGGTTATTTGGGGGAATTTCCCGATCGAAATACCAGGTTTACAAAAAAACAAAACAAAAAAACAAAAAAAACAGCAACACGATAGGGGGTGTTGCCATACTGCCCACAAAACGAGCCTTACACGTGTGACGGGTGCATCGCAGCAAGTAAATTCCCATAGACAGCAGTGATAAATCCCCAAACTCCACAAATATTTTAAAAAGAATACTCACAACTCTCATAAGTGTTCAGGCTGCACAGAAAAAATGACGTTCGACATGTCTTCTTTCATTTTCCTTTCATCTTTAAGTGGTTTGACCTATGAATTTTTAAAAAAAATTCTCACCCAAATCAGACCACCCCTAAAATGAAGGATATTTCACTGCCCGGAAAAGTAGCCATTTCGAAAATTCATCCCTCTGCAAAATGGCTAAAATAGTGCCACTTTCAGAACCAGTTGCATCCAAATTACTCAGAATTGGAAGCCCTGAATCCAGCCCAGAGGTTCAGTGTCGCATTTCTTCAGTTCCCCAGTTCCATGGCTCTCAGGACCCTCTAATATAGAATATTTTGAGTGTACAACTCTTATTAATGAGTTCGGCGGACATATTTCTGGCCTATATACGTGGGTGCTCGCTTACGGGCTGCTACATCCATCACAGGGCACTTGGTATAGAAACCATCAAGCTCCCATGAAAACACCGGTGAGATAAAATCATTTGACTGAATGAAATCGTTCGTATTCAAATAATACAGACTAACATGAAAGGTTCCGCTGGTTTGCGGGAAGATCAAAATCGAGGTTTTGCATTCTCAACGGCCTTCAAAAATGGAACAAGGATGAATTTAATTCGACAGAAAACAAAGCGGTTGTGCCACTGTATTATAATTCTCACTTTACCGAAAAGCTGAGTATTGTCTCTCTAAAATCATACCTCCATCACTGTATGTTTGAGAATGAGATTACAAACACTTGTGTTCACCGTTTCTTTTTAATTCTGCCCGAGTGCATGTCTTGTGTGTTTGCCTAAATGAACAGCTTGGATCTGTTTTCATTGTTTTATGTCATTCAACAAGTTTGCTTTTATCCTTTTGTGTGTTTTAATTTTATTTATTTTCAAATAATTTGTTTTCAAGTGCAATTTAGTATACTTTTTCAATTCTAATCTGTGTCGTTAATTTCTTAACTAACACGGCTCCTTGATAAACAACTTCGGTTAAACGAGTTATTGTGTATTAACAAGTTTAACGAAAGAAAGGAAATGACATTATAATGAAGATAAAATTTACTGGCGTTAGTAATTACTTTGTTTATGGACTGGACTACATTTCATCCCATACCATTTCCGATCTAGTCAGAATGGATTTGGTTTGATTTGATTCGATTCTATCACATTCGTTTCGACTCGATTTGATTTGAGCTGAGCGGCTGATCGAATTCGTTTTTGGATATCGAGTTTCAGTAACTAAGATGCAGTCGCAATATTTCAGGTAATTTTTTTTACACATTTGAATTGTAACTCTTAAACATTCAAGGAATCCTCTAAATATGTACCCCGGTGCGAAACTCCGCCCGATTCTGGAACTGCTTACAAACCGATGCACGCACCTGTCAGTGTTGTTTTCCATTCATTTATTACTGTCTGGCACATGAGGCAATCAAGCTGAATATCCCGTGAAGCCAATGAGATTTCAGCATCTTCGGGCAAGGACGAAAACTCATTGTGGTCTGAATACATATTGCGGTCTAAACATCCGCTCGTCTCAGCTGTAAGGACACTACACGTCTCTTATTATAATATGCATGGAACTTCAACCCTCTTCTGCAACACGACTCAATCACGCCGGGATTCATCGAGAGCTAAATGCCGACATGCGCGGACACGTCTTATGTGGCAGCAGACCAGTTAAGTGTTTCAAACCGCCGTCTAATTTGTTTTCGGTGGAGAAAAATTGCACTTCGACACTCTTCTCATGGATTGCCCCTTAACCAAGGAATGTGGAAAGCAGTATATTCAATTACAAAACAAGAAATTACTAAAGGAATGGCTAAAGTTAACGACAAAATGACGAATTTGACATTACAGTGCTTTGACCATGCATAACAATTAATTAAAGAGGGAAAAAATGGAAAAGCAGACGGACCAGAAAAGCCTCATTTTGGCATTAAAATTCAAATTATACCGTTTACACATGTGGTTAATTGAATAACAATCAAAGAAATCTGAAAAAATTTTAATTACCCAAATACGTTTGTCCATTTGCATCTTATAAAACAATTATTCGTTTGTACGAAATTCAAAGGTAGACATAAAGGCCAGAGGATGATGTATTATGTAAGATTATCAGTAGCAAAGAAACTAAACATTTTGAAATGAAATGTTTAAGGAAACTATAGACCACGCTCATTTTGCCCGCAGTTTGTATAGGCGGCCAAAATTTGCAGAAATATCACCTTGCAGTAGGTTTTCGATTTACCTCAAATTTGTTCAAAACGGGCATCTGTCCAATTAATTAAAACAGTGCTGAACTGATTGCAAATACGGAGAGGAAAGCAAGACTCGAAGGTAGAAATCTCACTATATCTGGGCTTTCCAAATTAAATGTATGACGTATTCTATTTGGGGGTTTATTGAAAACCAAACTCGAACGCGCGTAACTAAAATTGAGCGCCACGAACACGAAAAGCCAGCATATTGGCAGTACATTCAAAATCGCTTGAACATGTACCTACGCGTTCTTCTTAACACAATATTCCTGACGAATTCAGTCGAAAAAAGAATCGTTATTTATATCCTAGAGACTGCAAGTAACCAAGCAGGAGTCTTGGGTATTTATATCTGACTCAACGGGTGTAGAGTTGCCTGCGCCGTCCAAATCACAATGTGCTCTTGTAAAATTAGTCTGCATTGAGTTTGGAAAAGTCATGCAATCGGCAATTATGAACAAAATGTAGAATAGCATTATTAGATCACTTTGAGTGCTGGAGATGGAGAATTCGGCCATAAACACTGGAACGCTTCCTGCAGAAAGGTCGACGTGTTAACGAGAAGCAAATTCCAGGAGTAATGCCTTAGTTTTGTGGTTTTTCCAACTCAAACATAGAGATAAAATCAGCAACTACAGACAACTACAATACAATAAATAAACAAAAAGAAGGTAGCTACCATGTTTTGTATGAGATGCAATTTCCTAGATAGTTACAACTGTACATGTTTGGTCACATCTGTCAGATCACAAATACTTGCCGCTTGTTAGAACGTCGCAGTGCTTAGCAGACGTGAGGATGTCGCTGGCGTCTTTACAAAACTACACATAAGTCACTCACTGCGCGGCTTCGTAGCAATACGTTATACGTGTAGACTGAATAATTTGCCAAAATTCATGCATTATACAGACACATACATGTACTTCATACACATCTCCACTGTGAGTCAGTATCATTTAAACCTTGGGCAGGTTGGTTTTCTTGAGATTGCACATCGTAATATTCCTGTTAAGTAATTCCTACGGTAAACTCTCTTGCGCGTGGACGCTGGCCCGAGGTTTCGCTTAGGGTCAAGAAACACGCCCTCAGAAAAAATGAAAGGAAAGAGGAGGGCGGAATAGAGATCAATGCTGTGCTTGTTGGTTTCTGGCAAAAATTCTACAGGAAAACAGGCTTGATGACAGCGGTTGTATCTATAGAACGCTGAAGTGTGACGTCATTTTGAATCAGGAAGTGCAGTGCAAACGAATGGGGTGCCCACCTGTCGGTTCATTCGCTGCTTCTCGCGCTAATGCCTTGTTCGCACACAATTATTGTGTGACACATTTACTTGAGTTCTGAACAGCACCCAAAGTGTGAATCTAGTTCCCTGGTCCACTGCCCGTACTTAATCTCTTCGTCCAATGTTTCACGAGAATGGTAAGTGGTTTGTCGTCCCCCCCCGGCAGAAAAGTCGCCGATGTCGATTTCATGCTTGGATTCTAAATGAAAGTAGCTCCTTCGACACCAAGAAATGAAAATTACAGTCATAAAATGAACAGATTCTTTTAAATCCACCAATTGTCGTCATACATTCGTTACTTTGATACCAATCTCTCTACACGAACGTGAATCAAACAAACCTCAACATACTCAATAAGCTTGATCCACAATTGATTACATAAAGAACTGTATACAATGTATTGAATTAATCTTTAATCAAATCTCAAACATTAGCGGGAAAGTGCTGCAGCCTGGCTACATCTCGGTTGAACAAACTTTCATAACTACGCAGGATGCTCATAAACATGTACAGTCCTGCTTAATAGTCCCCTCTTTGGAAAATTTTAACAGGTTTTAACTATAGATTACGAAAATGTCTTCATAAGTGGAATAAAGTACAAGGAGACGTGTTGTGAAAATTAAATGTTCCACTGCTGTCGGTTGTTTGCACTCGACATATCTCTTTAGATGATTCAAAGTCAACGAAGGTTAATACTCCCGAACGTGCGAAAGAAATGATTTTTGCCTAAGTAACAGCGGCACCTCAAGCAAACACAGGAGCGATAATCGGCAAATGACGCAAGTTCTCGTGCGCCGACTTGTAATAAGGACTATGTTTTCATCTGGCGCAGTGATACACTGAAAAAGCACTGCCGGCTCGCATATAAATACGGGATACATTTCCTTCTACTTCAGTCCTCGAAAAACCACATGACTGCAATATTTCGAACAACCCCTGGTTGTTACATTTACTACACGTAAAAAGCCCTTTTTGCCTGTGTATGATTTGGAATGAGGGAGTACACAGGATGTCGTTTTTACGATTCCTGGAGCATTTTGTTACTGTGTTCTGTGATTGGAGTGGGAGCTGTCGTCAGCGCGCATGCTGGTAAGTCGATACAGTTCAAGAAATTTCCATTGTTCCTGCCATAATTTCTTGCAGAATGGTCATATATTAATTCGATATCAGTAGCATGATGTCAACTTTTGTTCAATTCAGAAAAAAATGAATAAAAAATGATGAGCTTTGAATCTTTTCATAGTGAAGGTGGCAAATTGAGTAAAAGGTTTGCGGTAGCCTAACCCACAGCACAAGCCAGAAGTAGACAAGATTTTCTGCCAATGTGGCAAATTGTGCATCGGCAAGACAGGCAGGGCTCTCCCAACCAGACTTAATGGATACAGAGCCCAGGGCAGGAGAATTTGAGGGTCTGCCATCATCCAGCACTCCCAGACCAAAGGCCGTCAAATCAACTTGAGCCAAGTCGAACTCATCACCTACATTGAAAATAAGTATCCCTCACTGCATCAGGGAAGCCATCGAAATCATCAAGCTCGGCACAGTTCTTCAAGGCATTGGTGTCAACATCATTGACATCTGGGGCCCCATCCTCACATCCCAGTCCAATGGGTCTCTTATACCTTAAGACATGTTTCCAGTCTTTGAGTCTCAAATACCCTTTGCAACATTCCCTATGCGTCCTTCGTTAGACTGACACACCTCACCAATCATCCAGCATCCCAGGTTCTGCTTCAGTGCCCTTGGTGGTATCCTGAGTTAGTATCCTCTTCACAGCTCACCGCCTCCAGGCATGTAAGCTGCTTCCTCATTGGAACCTCTGCAGTCTCCTGTTGTACGTGCGGTTTTTCACTGAACCACATATACTCATAAAATAGATATCCTTGCACAGTGCTACCGCAAACCTTTACTTAATTTGAATAAAACTGCATACAGATAAATAAACAATATCTAAACTTGAAATGAACTCAGCCGAAACTGATGGGCAATGAACTTTCCTCCATTTGGTGAAGAGTCAGGTCGAATACTGAAAAAAGGAACAAATGGTTGTCAATGAGAAGTTTTGTTTTTATGAAGGTGCTTTTCAACGGAGGGTATGCTGTTTTAGATTTCTTTTTTATTCCGTAAAAGCATTCATTACAGCTTTTCTCGATGACCCTTTCAAACTGGAAAACTTTGAGACCATCAGTAATTTTAACAGAAGCTTAAACCCCTTAATTGTACTTGTGACGAGTACGTTGAATAACATTTATTTGAAACGAAAATTCCTAGGAAAGTACGACGTGTCCTTTTTGTTATAACTGTCACTATGTCGTAAGGAATTTACAATTTTGTTTCTGTTGGTTGAATAAATTCACCTGCCAAACTTGTATGCACGGGGTTCTATCACCATCAATTAGATGAGAGGTTCCTTAACACTGAATGCAGAAGAAACTACTTCAAGATAAATGGAGCTCATGTGTTTAACAATAAAAAGTGCAAAATTGTTCGCATTGAGAGACTTGACATGAAACATTTGGAAAAGCGTGTATCAAACTTACTGGTATCTTTATCGTAGCTTTCTGAAAACAAAACAAAACAACAAACAGATCTCTAGAGTTGTAACTTTTAGCAAACCATTAAGACATGAGAATGCGGGCAAGAATGTGTTACACAATTGAAGGCATAAAAAAATTGCTCTGCCAAACCTTCATCTCCACATAGACGTGTCTTGCGAACATAGTAATGATATAGTCACTTCACAGAGGCCCCCGCTAATGGCGGTACATGCACTGTATTTGTATGGTTGCCCTGTTCCCTGACAATTGTTCCACGCGTGCGGAATCCAATACAATGCTTTCTGAATTAAGGGGTCCACTGGAAAGTTGGGAGCGTCTAGTGAAACGCTGCGGGATTCGTTCATGAAAGGAAAACCCCAAACGCGGTTTCATCACAAGTGTCGTCCTCATAGAAGTGCCAGAGTCCACACACTCAAAATTCTAATACCCAGAGAATTTAAGGAAATTAATCGCACCTTGGGAAATCCAAGTGCCCCTATTAATCTTCCCCAAATAAACAAACATCGCCGGTTGTCCTGAGACTGAGATAAGATATCTACAATTAAGATGACACCCGTGACAGGCAAAAGATACTTATGGTCGGAAACAAAGATGCAGCGCCACCAGATTTGTGGCAGGTGCACTTTTCTGATGATGTGCTATTATTGCGGTGTACGGCACTGTATTTTCTTAGCTCGGACTCAGTTCACGGCCGGGGGACAGATTCCCCCCCCCCATACCCAGCATGCTTTTGTCTTGACTGACCTCAGGTATGGGGGGGGGTGGGCATTTCGCCAGAGCAGAATATCTGATTTTCACAAACTGTAACAAAATGATTGGAAGACACAAATGGAAAAACTCGTGAAGGTTCGGCGCGAAATGCGTCGTGAGGAATAGATATCAAAGAATTTGTTAGGGGCGGAATCTGCCCCTGATGACGGCTCTTCGGGGGAGGGGAGTTAATTTTAAGTGCGCGTACATTTGGCAAATCACAACATCCTATTAGTGAAAGAGGCAAGTAACGCGCGCGTACCACCCGTTTACAAGTTCCCACCACCACAATAACGGCTACTAATACCAACCGAACAAAAAATGTAACGAATATCGGAGCTATAGGACGGCACCCGTGGTCATTCCTACGGTCCCAGATGTCACAGACAGCAGGAATGCAGCGCACTGACTTAAAAGCCTGCATTTATTTCTCTTGCATGGCTGTTATTGCTACAATATTCTGGAACTGCGGGCTTTTTACGCGTCCATTCGCTTCCATCAGTGTGCGGAAAGTTGAAGTATGTGGCATTGACTTGGATTCATACCCCTCAATATACAGTCACCCTGTAAGAAAAAGTGGTTTCATATTCGGAAATAGTTTTGAATTAACTAGCGGATTTTTCTTTTGCTATTGTGCTAATCTATACATCTTCAAAACTACGACAATCATTAGTGAGACAAAAAATAATACTGTTTATGCCCAAGAAATAACTCTCTCTCTCAAATGACGCCACGTCCTACGGATTACTACCGACATGCATCAGCATTTTGGGCGTCAAGTTTTCGCAATGTGCAGGTGCCGCGCCCTATTGGGAAGATATTTAGATCAGTAGGCGCGCGGATATTGGAAGAAACACTTTGCGCACAAGGGCCTGGCAGCGTTGAATACGAAGTTGGAATTTCCATAGAGATCATAAGTAGCAGTAGAAGCCTGGTGACACTGGCCCTGTAGAATTGTCCCATAACGCACGCGCAACTTGGAATCTCTCAGACGCCCACGTGTCCAAATTAATGACGTCGGTAAAATATATAGCAAACGTCATGCATGGGCGTAGAAGACTTGCGCACGCACGTGCGTGTTCACATGGTAGCGTAATCAAACAATATGTCGCCCTATTTGGGGACCAAATTTACGTATACCGTTTTAGAGACAACGCCTGTCCCCTCTAGCTTTACTATGATGATCTCTGTCGAATTCTCCTTCAAACATGGTGTTCCATCTTAACTTATTGCAGTGGTGTTTGTTATTATTTCGGCAAGTGGTGAAATTTGAACGTCATCAAATTATATTTCATTGCTCAGAATTCAGCCTTGTGTGAGTAATTAAAACTTTTATGGAGAACAGTCCTGAGGCGGTCAGCAATATTTAAGATGCGTTTTTTGTTTGTGCATAGAGTTAATTAATACGAAACTTGATCGGCAATCTGAAGGACCTATCTCTATCCAGGGGATTCTCTTATTAAAAAAGTCTCTTGCGCTCTCGAGAGTATTAAAGACAGTCTGTTGAATTGCACTTTGCATGTAATTTATCAGTGATACTGTTTCGATAAACAAGTGAGTATTTTGTTGAGAGTGCCGGCTGCACTGCCATTGGATTTAGGGAAGGCTCTCAATAAATCAATTGACTTCCGCATGATTGATGTACCCTTGTCGCAATATTTGCCGAAAGTACCCTACGAGAAGTTCAAAATGCAGATGCTTTCCCTCACAGATAATGCTTCGGATGAACATTCAAAAACAACTTGCGGAGAGACAGAATTAGGATGATTAATATGAAACTGCAAGAAACAAAAACTTCTAAACTGTCTTAGTCACTAATGATTTGTTTGAAATAAAACTACAAAAGAAATTCTTTTCGCGGAAAATGGTAGGCCTATCACACAATGACAAGCAGACTTTTGATAAAGAGAGCTTTCAAAAATGAGCAAATTAGACGTCGGTCAAGTCATGTTAAAAAACATTTCCGGTTCAACATGAATAAAATGTGATACTATGTAATAACATGTCTATCTGACGGGTATTAAAGAAGACGTGAACGAAATAGTCTTTTTTGAAAAAAAAAATATTGGCGATCTTGCAGTGGTATACCGGTACCGGATTCGGATTGGTCTATAGAAAGACGCAATTCACTTCATGGTGAGTGGTTAAAGAGAACCACAGGGGCTAGACGTGGGTTGGAGGTTCAAATCCCTATCTCCTATACACGACAAAAAACACAGTGGTACAGGTGAACACTGGGCGACGCGTGTAAATCGTGAACTGCATCTAACCCCCAAATCATTTGCATGGACGCGAATCACGGGGGAGGGGGTTATTTACTGGGGGGGGGTGGACAATTGAATTACACTAACTCCACACACTTTTTCATGGTGACAAAAAAAATAAGCGGATTCTGAAGGCTTCCGAACAACCAACAAGTATTCAATATAGCACTCAAACAGGCGAAGAATAAAAAAAAGCCATAAATTTTCCGTTCTGGTGTCAGATTCTGCAGAAAAGCAATACGCATTACAGATGTACATCTGTATCATGAACATCGCCCTCCAGTGTCATATGGTGCCTAGTGTCAACACCCCTCCCCCCTCCGCTTTTGAAATTTCCATGGCCAGGAAAATGATTCCCCCTCACAATTCACCATCTTTCAATCTCCGGCACAAATCTTCGCCACTGAACATTTGGTTCAATTAACCTAAACATTATCATTATAAGACAAAATTGCAGATTGGATCGGCATTTTCCCAACGATGGTTACAGTACATGCGCACCCACACTTCCATGTTA